GGGGGGGGGGGAGGCTAGGACTGTTAGGAACGTGGCCCACATTGTCTGGTCGCTTAGCACGCTGCATTGGTGTATGTGGGACATGGTTGGCATTTAATCATACTCACCGTTGTTCTTATTTCTCTCTTCCTTTCCTCATTCCCTTCCGTCCTCTGACCTCTGTGGCTAAATAACACTGCTACCTTATCTAATGATGTGCGTGGCCCCTCCTGAACCTCCCGGGACTGCCAGGCTAAGAACCAGTGCCTTTCTGTCGAGCAGTCCACCATCTTTATGCTTTCTCAGACTTCCAGCAGCCTGAGTTTCTGACGGAACAGGTGATGCTTTCTGTCTTTTTGCATGTTTGAGTTTATAGTCACAGGACAACAGAGGGCTGACTTTTAATAGCAAGAGCTGTCGAACACACTGGTGTTCACGGGTCCTATGTCTGTGATCACCACCGCCACACCAGGAATTACAGGGCTGACTCGTACCTGGATGTGGGAAGGTCATGTGGACTGTGATTTCTATCAATACCACTAACCAGTGTTTCTCTCTCAGCGTCCATTGGAAGTATTATCCCACCTGCAGGGGCGGCTGCGTCTTCACTCAGGCCCAGCCGAGCGCATCGGGCTGTGCTGCCTTAAATTCGTGCTTCCTACACATGAAGGTGTGGGTGTGGCAGGTTCTAAGTCACGCAAGCCCCGATGTGAGCAAAGTTTCCTCAGTGCCGTCCTTCTCTCCGCAGCCCAAAGAGGATGGGTAGCAAGACCTCCTCGCTCACATTCACCTCGTAAATCCATTCTGCACACAGGGAAACTGAGGCCTCCCCAGGGCAGTGTGCTCGGGCCAGCCATCTGGGCTGTGGACAAAGCCAGGAGAAATGTGTTTTGAGTCAAAAGTTCTACCAAATTCATTTTTAAAAATTTTGTTTTAATCTGATTGTTTCTAGAAAAAGCCTTCTACTTTGCTTTAAATGGTTATAGTAGCCTATTTCTCAGCCATGGAGAGCCCATCACACAGCATTTCTCTGTGGCAGTCGCCTTGGATCAAAGCCTTTTATCAGAACCAAGATTTGAGGGACAACACATTAACTAGTGTCTGTTTTCCAGCTGTATGCCCGTGTACCCAAACACCACATTCATGTGTTCCCCCAAAGTAATGATACTTGGAAAACACATTTGGTATTCATGTTTACTAATGCAGTTTAGGAAAGTGTTTAAATAGGAAAATGCCTAAAGCAAGGAAGGCTCCTTTTTTCTTTAAATAACAGCTCTTCCTCTATACATTTTAAACACTATTTTTTAACTAACAAGATGGCCCTTTTTTTTTTTAGTTCAAATGGTTATTGGCAGTCGAAGTTTCCTAATCTGGTGCCATCAGGATTAGAATTAATTACCTAGCCTCATGTCGCTGTTTACATATCTGAAAGGGCTCAGGATGGAGTTATTGGAACACTTTAATCAGTCCCAGGGCCGCTGATGAAATCCATCCAGTCATGCCAGCTCTGGGCTGAAAGTGAGCGCTCTAACTGCAGTTTAGTGAGAGTTGATTCGCTTCTGTACCTTTGCAGAAGCCAGGCTCTGGCTGCTTGGAGCAGGTTGTCACTGAGTGCTCTGTGGTGGCTAGCCACACGGGGTGTGACCACAGGTGTCCCCACACCCACACCCACACCTGCACACAGCGTTCCTGCAGCCAGCGCGCTCCTGGCACACACGAGGTGAGGCTGGTGTTGCTGTAAAACCACCCAGATGGTTGCAAAACTTTGGAGGAATAAACATTTGGTTAGTTCTCATATGGAACATACAGTACTTCAAATGGATGGATTTGTTTTTCTTTTAACCTGTTCTATTAAAAAGTAAAACATCACAGGCACCAGGTTTCATATATATATGTGTGTGTATACATATATATATGTATTTATCTATAGCTACCTATATTTTTATATATAATTGAATTATATATAATTCAAAGGGCAACAACTCTACCTCCTATTTAGCTCATTCTTCTCCTTCCCAGAGGACATTCTGCAATTCAGACCTGTGGTTCTTCACTTTTTAAAATCTTCCTATTACTGAGAAACTAATATGATCAGACTGGAAAGTCCTAGTGTTCATATTCCCAGCCCCGCTGACCTGCAGCACTGAGCTTTCAGGATCCTAGCCGTGGGCAAGACTCTTCTGTTTGACTAGAGACAGGGCTGAGGATCAGAAGGAAAAGGAGAGATGGGAGGACAGGAGGATGGGGCAGACAGGAAGACAGGCAGAAGGACAAGGATGGCAGGCACACAGTTCCTCCCCTCAGGAAACCTTGGTGCTCTCTTTTTGGGAGGGGGGCAGGTGTCTAGTAAATGGCACTTGAGAAGCCTTCAGCTGAGTGTGGCAGGATTTTTGGTTCTGGAAGCATTTCCTGTGCTCGCGACAGAGGCTGGCCTTTGCTGGGTTGGGAGCAGGCCCGGCAGGTGGCCCTTCAGCTGAGACCCTGCTCTCCCGCGTGGCCCATCCATCCTCTCTGCACCAGCTCCCTCCCGCTAGGAAGACCACCTCTTTCCCCCAGCAGAGCCCCTGGGAATGCCCACACTGACAGCCCCGTGCCCATCTGCCCCGGATTTTGCACAGACTTCCAGGTGAATCCAACATGCCCCATTCACGCAGAGGGGCCTAGTGAGCGGCCCTCGTGGGCACTGGCCCCCACCCCAGCTGCAGGGCCGGATTCTGCCCTCAGCGGCCCGGAGAGCTCCCTTGGTTCCCGTGTGGCAGCCATCTCAGTGTCTTTCCTCGCCTTGCAGAAGAGCTCGAAACCCAAAACAGCGGTCGATGCCGCGCTGAGCCCGGACAGGCCACTGCTGACGGACGTCTTGCCGGGGCCGAGGCGTGATTAGCCCACAGATAGGTAACGGCGTCCACCATGCTGCCTGGCAGGCCCCCTGGGTGTGCTGTGCTCTTTCAAACTGTCTGTTTTTCCTCCAAAGTTTTGCTGTGCTGTGCCGTTTTGATAACAAAGATTCATTTAAAACAAACAAAAAAAGGAAATCATTTTTACACACACACGTGTATTTCTATCCCAGGTAAGTGACCTGCCTGAGAGTGGCTGGACTGCATATGGTTGAGTGTCGTGTACACACATGTGGATGTGCACACATCCCCTCCGTGCACATCCACACGCCGTGGTGAACGCGGTTCCACGTGCAGTTGCGTGAGGTCCCCGCGTGCTGTGCTCGGTGCTCGGTGTGCCAGAACAATCTCATTCCTCGTCCCTGGTGGTGGAAACGGCTTCCCTTCACAGGTCAATCAGGAAAGGCCCTCTTTGGAAATAAAAAAGGAGTGCTGGACGTTAGCCCAGGCAGGTCTGGCACGGATGCACTGTTGTCTGTCAGCTGAAGCTGGTGTTGTGTCTGGGCCCAAAAAACAAGGAGAGGAAACGCAGCCGTGTTCACACTGAGCTAGGTTCTTCAGATTTGACAACCCCCCTCCTCTACCCCAAAGCAGGCACACTGGGAATGCTCATTCCTTTAAAATAGATTTCTCCTCGCCCGGCCGGCACTCAATGATTGAACATCGACCTGTGAACCAGGAGGTCAGAGGTCGATTCCTGGTCAGGGCACATGCCTGGGTTGTGGGCTCAATCCCCACTGTGGGGCATGCAGGAGGCAGCCAATCAATGATTCTCTCTCATCATTGATGTTTCTCTCTCTCCCTCTCCCTTCCTCTCTGAAATCAATAAAAATTTATTTTTTAAAAATAGATTTCTCCTCGCTGGCTGCCCCTCACTCCCTGCCTGCTCAATGTAAAGGTGTCTAGGACGAGTCGCAGGTCTCCCTGGGCTGTTAAGAAACAGCACGGCCCCATTTGTGTGACTAGAGATAAGCGTAGGCGGGAGCCAGCGAGCCGGCCGGTCAGGATGACGTGGGCCCCGTCTCTGAGGGGTGGCGTGGCACTCTTACACTAAAGGAATCAGACCTGGTCCCTGGGGCCTTTATCAACATTGTCTTTCCCCAACGATGGGACAGCAAGGGGAGTTCGTAGCCAGACCGAGGGTCACCGCTGCCTCTGCCGCGGTTCACCTGGATGGACGCCGGCTGACCGGTGTCCTGCAGTGGGAGCCCCCACCAGGACGATGCAGTGACTGCGTCGGATCATCGTGGGTGGGATTCTTGCGGAGGGGCCTGACTCTGTCTTCTCTGTTTCCCGACAGGACATGCCCACCCAGAGTCGGGACCTCTTTGAAGTCAGCCGTTTTGTCTCTCTGCACAGCCCCCACGCCTCGGCCATCTGCCCCACACAGGTGACGCTAACGTGCCCAGAGAGCAAGGAGTGCTCGGTCCTCCCTCCCATGGCCTGTGTCTCGGACACCTGTCACCATCCCAGCGGGAAGCCCTGCTGCCATGAGCCCTGCAGGGAGGCAGGTGGCGAACAGATCACCAGTTCAAGCCTTTAAGACCCGCACGCGGGTGTGCGCCGAGCACGCCGGTGCTTGTCCTCTGCCCCCAGAGGAGGAAGAAGGGGCACAGGACCCGTCTGGAGTGCGGAGGCTGGCAGTCTGCGTTGTCATTTCCCACAGGCCTGGTGGCCTCGGGCATTTAGTTGGGCTGCTAAAAAGAAGGCGTGCACAGGGCCTGCTACATCCGTCCCAGGTCAGGGTCTCTGTCTGCGCCCTCCGTCATCTCCGCCACACGCATCGCCCGAGGAGGACGTCTGCTTGGAGATGGGCTCAGCTCTGAGCGGGAGGCAGTCACCCCCACCCGCCCTGTAAGCACAGATGTGACTCTCCCTTGCGGAACCGATGGTCTGGCCGCCGCCTCCTCCTCCAGAGACCTCTGATATTCCGCTTGCGGCACAGACACTGGAGTAATCGTGCATCCATCCCCCACCAAGTCGCCTGCTGTGCTGTTGCTTCTGTTCAGAACCCTCCACGTACCGAAGCTGATTCTTAGGGTTGCGTCTGATTCAAAGTTTGTTTCTCTGAGGGAGATGTGACCCCTGTGTTTTGGACTCTGTGTGTTTCCATGTCTCTCCCTTTCCCGTTCCCTCAGAGGGAAAAGAGTACTCACATAGGAGGAATGGGCAGTACTGTCCATGGAAGCTTTCCCAGTACCAGTTTTGAGATATTTATCTTTGCCTCCAAGGGTGAGGTGTGTCAGTTTACTCTTTATTTCGTGGGGGCCAGGGGAAGGGTGGTGGTCTCTTTCAGCGCCCTCACAGAGAGGTGGCCTCAAGGGGCAGTGTTCATCTTCCAAAATCTATACAGGCCCACGCGGGTCTGCCCCCTAGATGGCCTGTGGGTTCTAAAAAGCAATATCGCCACTCTAGGCTGCCACCTCCCTGGTAGCTCTGACCAAAGCTCACGCTGAGCTTTCTGTTCGACCTCTGCCTTGTGCGTGCTGTCCAGTGGGTAGACCATCAGGAGGCTGCTGAGTTCAAGTTCTGTCACTTTCCTGCACTGGCGTTTCTATTTCTAGGAATAACCTAGTTGACATAGCCTTAATGGTCCATAAGGAAGACATTTCAGTGTGAGATTCAAACTTGAAACGTTAAAACTGATGCCTTTTTAGAAAAGTGTCACCTGGAAACTAACCTAAAAGCAGGGTCCTGGTCCGCTGGCCGATCTCACGCTGTGGAGTTGGGGGATGTTGGTAAGTGAACCCCAAGTTTGCTTCTGAGATGCTGGATGTTACATAGTTTTGGAAGTTCAAATTTCACAATTTGATTGTATAATGTTTCACCTGAAGTATTTATTTGATGTAGGGGATAAATTCACAGTAAGAACAGTGAACACAGTAGTTGGGGTGAATTGAGGGGAAGTGTGAACACCATACCAAAGACTAGGTAACGAAAGTCTGGCGCCCTGTCCGTCCTGAGGGTCGTCCTCACCACACCCACCCGTCCCATCCTGTCTTCCTGACACTCCCCATGTTCTGTGTGTGGTGGCAGCCCTTGGCCATTCTGATCCACACTAGACCCTGCAAACAATGGTGTGCACATTTTTACAACCGTTTTTAAGAACCTAATATGGGTATAAATGTAATACCTGTAGGGGGGACAGATTGTATGTTTAGTTAACAAATTCTTTGTAATGTATTTTTTTAGGAATCTTAAAATTGCCTTTGCACTGAAGTATTTTCATAGCTGTTTATATCTCTTATTCGTTTATTTGTCAACATACCATGTCTAATTTTTAAAGTATGTTTTTAAAGCTTTTTATTTTTTAAGTTGATGAAATTTTGGCCACTTTAAATTCTGGTGAGAGTTTTGGCTGAATGTCTCGATATCTGATGAATGTGAACTTTCAGGTTTGATTTTATTCTCTACACCTGTTCGTTTTTGGTGTTTCTGGTGGCAGTGATTCGTTGGAAGGCATATTCAGAGTGTAATATTTTGCTATGCTTGTTCTTCACAGTTCATTGCAATTTCATCTGCTTTTTGTTTTGTTTTTAATTTCCATCTTCCCGCCTTAAAACAGAAGCTTCTTACTTGATGGTTCGGTATCTTCTTTCCACCTGTATTGAGACGGTTACCATTTACCTCAGATCATTGAAGTCGCATGTGAAAGTCACTAAGCCTGTACATGCTCCATAATGTTTCCTAAAAACATGTGGGAAATGAAGGGACTCTGCCTGCGAGGGGCAGGAGACAGAAACAAAGGGAGGAAGAGAAGAGCCCCACTGAAATGACATTTCAGATACGTCTCTGATATTCAGATATTAATTAATGTTATTTCTTTTCACCTCACAGGAGTTAGCATTTACTTGCCTTTATCTTTAAAGCAAGTAACTTTAAGCATTTTCCTTAGTGTTGAAACTCTTATTCATGACTGCCTATGTTAGTAGATCATTAACTCATAATTTCCCACGTTGGTCAGAATTTCTGGTTCCTACCCCGCATTCCAGCCCAACAGCCAGTCATCTATAAGCACGAGTGGTCCCGACCATGTCACATTCTCTCACTCTCAGCGTCACATCCACTCACAGCCACACATGTGCACATGTGCCAGTTCTCATGCACACATACAACACACACACATATACACGTTCCCCAGGCCCCACGCATCCCTGCCTCCTTCCTAAGGGGATCACGTGAGGAGCCCCCAGAAGACAAGGCTTCTTGGGCCTCCATGCTGAGTGCCCACGGGGATACGGGGAGCGGGGGGAGGAGGGGAGAGACTTTGCAGGGCAGCCCCTGGGTTTGAGCGGAGCTGCTGGGTAGCCCAAACTCCTCCTTTTCAGGAAGTCCAACCTCTCCCCTCCCAACTGACACCCCCACCACCAAAGCTTCGCCCTGAGGACAAGTGGCAGAAAGTGGCATCTGGACCCTCCCAGCTGCAGTCTTCACAGGAGTTCAGGATCGTGGGCTGGCCCTCTGCCACGGGGCAGCTAGGAAAAAAGCATCCTTCCCTTAACATTCCTGTTAGAACCCAAATCAACCCACTCCTGTGCATTTGACACAATAGGGTGAACACAGACCAGGTGACACCTGGTGGTGGCCGCCTGGACTAGGGAAGGAGGCTGAAAGCAACCTGCTTCTGCAATAACAGGTTTAAAGAACTGCAGTTTGGCCTGGTGAGATCTTGCAACTTTAACTACAAACATGTCTCACCCCTGCTGTGCTCACTATTCTTAAATTGCTGGGCATCACCAAATGTTCAGTGCAATCTACAGGGAGTTTTCTGGCCTTTTTCTTTAAACCACTAAGTTCACCTCTTTTGCACTGACTAGTAATAACCTAAAGCAACCACTTCTACTTTACCTTTAAATTAATATTATTTATTTGATAACTCAATATAACACCGTGGTATGCAGTTTCTTGTGTTCTACGTTTCTTTTAGAAGTTTCCCATTTGTAACTTTAAAAACAGGAAAAATTTCTGTTGGTTAATTCATTTTTTTTAAGTAGAGGGTAGGTAAATGAGAATGAGAATCATTCTGATATTGTCTATCAACAAAGTTTTAATGAAGACATGTTGGAAGTATTATTAAAGTGTGATTCTACTTTTGCAGAAAAAATATATAAAGATCAGTTTATATAGCTTTATTTTTTACCTTATCAAAATACACAGAATTTTAATATGCATATATTGTCTGTGATTTAAAATTATAATGTGTGTCTGCATCGCCATTTAAAATGTCCATTGATTATGTAATGCAATAAAAGAGAATCTTCAAAAATGTATTTAGCAGGAATGGAATCTGTAGTTGTCATCATCATAAATACTGGAATTTATTTTTAAATTATTGACTATAGTAGGTGCGTTTAAGATAATGTCAGCCTCCAGACAGTCATGTTTAATTGATAGTAATTCATTAACCTGCTTTGAAACATTAAATTATAAATTAAACCAAATCTTACATTTCTGTACAGTTTATTTTGTATGCTGTTTTTAACTTTTATTTCTGTAGATCAAGTATGAGTTAATATTAATTATATTGGACTTTTCGGCAGATTATCTAAGCAGGAGACTTGAATCTGCTTGCAATAAAGAAGAAAAAATGTCTGGTTAAGTTTCTTTATAAATAAAAATCATCTGAGAAGTTGGATTTAAATGTCTGCAAACAGAAGCTACGGAGAAAAACACCCTCAAAGTGAGGGTTTATGTTGGTTGCCAGATAAAGTGGACAACAGACTGTGGAAACAGCTTTCCTGAAAATGAGTGGAGTGGAGTGGTTTCTGTCCCCCTTTCTGCCCCTGCTGGCCCAGGGTCCCCCTGCACTCACTGAGACCACAGTGCCCAGCTGTGGTTGTGGGGCCTCACAGAACAGGAAACACGGCATTGGGGTTTCTTAATGCTCTGCCCATCCCCACGGCCCCTCCCTGATGGTCATACCCAAGATCCATGCCTTCAGCCACATGCCTGAGGTCTAAGCTTCCCCTTTCCATTAGATTCCTCTCCCTTTCCTCTTGGCCAAACTCCAGGCCCTCAGGCCTACATGGGTCTCCTGGGCTATGTTGTTCGCACCCAATTCTGTTATGATGGAGATCCAGTTAGTTCTGTGTGCCCACCACTGCCCACCAGTTAGGTCCTGGGCACTGCCTAAACACCCAGGAACGCCCCACCTGACTGGGGGGGGGGGGGGGGACGGGGCTATGGTTTTGCCCCCACTCCTCATCTCCCCCAGCCCTGCACCTCTCTTCTTCTGGTAACCATCTGCCTGCCCCTCACTGGCCACTGCCATCCCCTTCCAAAGCCTGGTGCCAGGTCTCAGTTCCTGGGACTCTGACATGCCTGAGTGAAAAGGGTGGAGTCAGTTGAGGCTGGCACTGTCCATTTGAAGGCTGACTGCTCAGCTGAGGTGTCACCACCTCAAGGACCACCCCAGTCCCCGGGGAGGGACTGTCAGGCCTCAGGCTCTGTCCTGTGCAATTCTAAATTTGGAACTTTTGCCCGAGCTGGTTTGGCTCAGTGGATAGAGCATCAGACTGAAGGGTCCTGGCTTTGATTCCAGTCAAGGGCACACACCCAGGTTGTGGGCTCGATCCCAGTGGGGGGCATGCAGGAGGCAGCCAATCAATGATTCTCACGATTGATGTTTCTATCCCTCCTCCCTCTCTGAAATCAATAAAAATATAAAGATTTGGAACTTTCCCCCCACCATCCCTGGAATGCCAGCAAGCAAGCACACAGCAAGCACTGAGGAACACACACGGAATGGGTGACCTTCACTGTCCCAGACCAAACCCCAGTAGCCAACACAGAACTCTACAAAATGCCAGGGCTGCACCAGGAAGTAAATGCCACAAGTGAATCCAGGGTTCCAGTGCTGCTGGCTGCTGTTTAGTGTCCACTGTTCACACCTGCCTCAGGTGACTTGAATGTGTGACCGCATTAAACCGGATGAGCCAGGAGATTGCACATTGGTATGAGGCTCGGCAGGTGTAAACAGCCAATGCCATCCACCTGTATACATGGGGAATGTACAACCATTTATTTCTCTGGGTCACATCCCAGCTTGATCAACACCCATACATTATTAAGCTCTTTCATGGAGAAATCTTGGAACACATAATTTCTCAATTCCTTTCTTGAACCAGAGGACACCACTAAATTTAGTCATATTAACTTCCGCAGGGAAAATGCTCACCTTTGTTCATTTTTGTTATTCAGGGAGCTACTAGAATCACTCAGAAACATCCAATCAGGTGGCAGATTTCTAACTCATCATTGACATACACGTATGAGTCTTAAGCCTGACAGGAGCCCCACAGAAATCTGAGAAACTGTTTATGAATCAGATGAAGAATTTCATACTAAAGACATCCAACCCACAATTAGGGGGCAGGGGTTATGGCTAAAGGAGGTGGACCTTGAATAAACACTTGCTGCTTGATGTCCAGAGAAATGTATACTCATTGCTCACAGCAGATTACTCAAGGCACCCTGTCTCTGTCCTCACATCATTTTGTTTGCTCTGTTGACCCATCAGCAAGATATGGGCGATCACAACACCGTGAAGCCACAGAAGGCCACGCCTTGCACCCTGGGCCTGCTGACAGACTGTCCTAATGTATTTGTTAAAACTTTAATGAAAATATTGATTCCTGGATGTATGACTTATTAAGAGTATCTATTATCCTTTAAAGTTAGTTACACAAAATCATAATTTGAGAAAAAATATACTCATCAATGCTCTTATTCATTTGTCTTTGTTTTTTATTGTTGTTAATCCTCACTCGAGGATATTTTTCCATTGCTTTTTAGAGAGAGTGGAGGGGAAGGGACAAAGAGAGAGAGAGAAACATTGATGTGAGAGAGATCGATTGGTTGCCTTCCGCAATGGGATTGAGCCTGCAACTGAGGTACACGTGCCACCCTTGACCGGAATTGAACCTGGGACCCTTTAGACCGCAGGCCAATGCTGTCTCCGCTGAGACAAACTGGGTAGGGCCTTATTCATTTGGTTTTTACAAGATTGAAAGAAAGGGAGAGGGTTTAAGTAAACTAAGAATAAATATGTCCTCTTGAGAATTTCAGATGGTTTTGATACCTTTAGAATTTTCAAAAGATCTGCTATACACAGTCTCAAAATATGAATTAAATATCAAAATAAACATGCTTTAATTAGCTAAGATTTTGATTCATTTATGGATGATTATAGTTCCTCAATCTTTATAAACTAGTTAAGTAAAAAAAAAAAAATGTATGTGATAAGGGGCAAATGGAGGTTAAAATCTTGACCATGACATTAACATACGAAACCTGAGACCTCACTGTTATTGTCAGCATTTGTAGGTTGTCTTAGGACAGTTAGACAGGGAGGCAGTTTGTATAAAAGAAGAATCAGGCAGCACAGAAATGGCTGTCCTACTAGGAAACTTATCTGTGTCTTCTACAGCACTCAGTGGAAGAGCAACATACAACAAGCGACCTGCTGCTCACTGTATTCCTTCTCAGGCGACTGTCACAAAGCACTGTGGCCTGGGTGGCTTGAACAATCGGAATGGGTTGTCTCGGTCCTGGAGGCAGAAGTCTCAGAGCAGGTATCAACAGGCTGGTTCCTTCTGAGCCGTGAGGGAGAATCTGGTCCACGCTCTCCCCCAGCTTCTGGGGTAGCTGGTGATCTTTGGTGACCCTTGGCTTGTAGACCCATCACCCATCTCTGCCTTCACCTCCACGTGGCATTCTCCCTGCTCGTGTCTGTGGCCAAATTTCCCATGTTTATGAGGACACCGGTATATTGGGTGAGGTACCCATCCTAATGACCTCAGTTTAGCCTAATTGCCTCGGTAAGGTCCCATTCTGAGGCACTGGAGGTTAGGATCTTAACACATCTTTTGGGGAGAAGGACACAATTCAAGCCATAATAGTTTGGGGGAAACACTGAGACATTTAGTCTGGCTTTAGAGCAGTCAGGTGAGCACATAGGCTGTGCACACAGGGTGCCTGTGGAGAGATGAGTAGGGGACTGTGGGTGGGTATTTAACTAGGGCACCGCTCAGCTACACCTGAGCTCACATCCCCACCCAGAGCTGTACCGGATGCTTACCCACCATGCCTTTCCTCTGGTCCTCCTTGGGCCACTGAGCCTGGGAGGGCACCTCGTTGACATGCAGAACCTGAACGGGCAAGAAGAGTGCTCCTGAAATGGAAGGCTAGAAATTAGGATGTAACCCATCTCTCCCGCCTGCACGATTTCTTCAGAACCCAGCATTTCTCCTAACAGAGGTGACCGTGGCAGGTGAGCAATCTCCCCCTCTCTCAACTGGCACCAGCGTCTCCCTATCTGCTCGGTTGTCCCTGTCAGCACCAGAAAGCCCATCTGAAACTGTAGCCTCCCTTCAGCTGCTGGCACGTTTCTCATCGCCCCTTTCATAAAACCTCCCCAAGGTGTCTAGATGCTGCCTGCCACTCTCTCCTCAGCCCACCCAAATCAGGTTTGTCTCCTGCTCCACTCAGGGACCCCCCACCACTCAGGGCCCATGGACCCCCCACCACTTAGGGCCCCATCTTGTCTTCTTCCCCTGCCTGGCCTGTGTTCACAGCCCAGCTTGGTTCTGGGAAGTGAGCTCCATGGAACTGCAGACTATGCTTTGTTCCCTGTGAATGCCCCGTGTCTAGCTCAGGGCCAGGCACCATGTTGCTGCCTGAACAAATCCCATGCCTGGAGGGCTCTGGGCCCCACCCCACCTGCCCTGCCGAGCCAGCATTTTGGGGGCCATTTGCATTCAGTAGACTTGTAGAACTCCTCCCCTTGTGAGGCCCAGGCACCAGCTGGGAGGAGCCATGGTCAGCAGAGCAGCAATTAAACCAGACCCCTGCCTTCCTTCCTTCAGGAGGAGCAGGGGAGGGAAGGATGTCTGTCAGGGTCAAGGCAGGGTTGCTGCTGATTTAGGGGACCGGAGAAGATAATGTTTTCCTTCCTCCCTTCCCTTTCCAGACTGGTTCTCTGAAGCCCTGTGGATGGGGTAGGCAGCCCCAACCCCCCAACGATGGCCCCTCAGTTCTCCCAGCAACCAGCCCTCACTTGCTCCCAGTGTCCCAGCTTGTTCCCTCCCCACCTGGACCCAGCATGGGAGGGGGTGGGGGGCAGATTCCAAAACACACTGAAGGTGCCCGGGGTTTTAGGAAGGAAGGAAGGAAGGAAGGAAGGAAGGAAGGAAGGGTGTCCTGTCACTGTTTTTCCTTCATCTCAGATGGAAAACAGTAAGTGTTTACTAGCTAAGGTGTTATTTATTTTGCTCTAGACTTATTTCGAGAGCAATGCTTTACATAGAGTTTAATCTCAAATGGGAACGTTTCAAACACTAAGTCAGAGAAATTGGGGAAAATCTGGAAGGCAGCTGAACCTTTCTCAACTGCTTACTGGGAACAGTGACCAAATGAAGCTCCAAACACAAGGGACCACAGATGCCCATTCTCACAACCTTCCTGAGGCTGCTAAATGCAACGTGATCGCTCTAGGTCTCTGCGATTGACGTGGGATCTGCAGCAGGTGAACTGGAAAGTCCCACCTCCCCAGACAGAGCTCAGAACATGCATGTGCCAAGACACGAACTGTG